AATCCTTCGGATCGCGCTTTATTGCTGGAGGAGACTACAATGCTAAACACCAACGATGGGGTTGTCGATCATCCAACTCCCGTGGTAACATACTATCTTCTGTCTCAACTTCCAATAGTTACTCTGTCCTCTCTCCTATGAATCCTACCTATTGGCCAACATCCCTCAAAAAACGCCCTGATATCCTCGACATATTTGTCACCTCCCAAATTTCCTCTTCCCATGTCACAATAAAATCCCTGGATGACCTCTCCTCAGATCATTCTCCAGTTCTGCTTTCATTACACACAACCTTCGCTCCTAAGCCCTCGTCCTCTCCTACACTGATTACAGGACGAGTAAACTGGGACAATTTTCGTAAAGACCTGGAAAATAAATTGGACCTAAATATTCCACTTAAGACGAAACGTGATATTGACACAGCCATAAAAGAACTCACTACATCTATAAGTGACAAAATAAAGAATAATACATCTACCAATAAAACTGACAACTCCCAACAGACAAATTTGCCGCAGCATATTCGTATCTTATTAAGGGAAAAACGCAGAGCAAGATCGAAGTGGCACAGGACTAGATATCCATCAGATAAGACATATTACAACAAATTAACTAACCAACTAAAAGCTGAAATTAGAAAATACAAAGTTCAAAATTTACATAACATGACAGAAAAACTTACTACTTGTGACAAATCACTATGGTTGACCACTAAAAAACTCCTTAAATTCAAAGATTTTAACCACCCACTTATTACTGAAACCCAAACCTGGTCCAGATCTGATGATGAAAAATCTCAAATATTTGCTCAACACCTCTCAAAAACATTTAATCCACACCCAGACATCCTTAATCCAACCCACCTTGAGTTTATTGAAGCAGAATTGGATACCCCACTCCAATTGACTCCTCCACCTAAAGCATTTCATCCTTCAGAAATATCCAATATCATTAATAGATTACCTTCTCGCAAAGCTCCTGGCCATGACCTAATCACCTCCCAGATCCTAAAATGTCTTCCTAAAAAAGCCATATTGTTCCTAACCTATATATTTAATGCTGTACTCCGCACCACATATTTTCCTGACTCTTGGAAACTATCCATTGTCAAAATGATACCTAAACCCACAAAGCCGCCAGAACACCCATCCTCTTACCGTCCTATCTCCCTTTTACCCATTATGGGCAAAATCCTGGAAAAACTCATTTTAAAACGCCTGTATCCCATCCTAGACTCTAAACACATTATCCCAGATCACCAATTTGGATTCCGCACATCCCACTCCACTATTCAGCAATGCCATCGTGTGGTAGATGTAGTCTCCTCTGCATTGGAGCGCGGAATGTACTGCACGGGAGTCTTTCTCGACGTTGAACAGGCGTTTGATAGAGTCTGGCATCCGGGACTGATGTACAAACTCCGTGAATTCCTACCACCTACATACTTCCTCATTATACGTTCCTACCTTACTGACAGATACTTCAAAGTCAATCATAACAATGCTTATTCATCTCTTTTTACTCAGTCTGCCGGTGTTCCTCAAGGTAGTATCCTAGGTCCTATCCTTTACACAGTTTATACAGCTGACATCCCAACCCAATCCAACACTGTCATCACCACCTATGCCGATGACACGTGTATCCTATCAGTTAATAACGATCCTTTAATTGCATCCCAAACTCTTCAATCACATATCACAAGCCTTGAAGAATGGTGTAAAAATTGGAGAATAAAAATAAATTCCAACAAATCCCATCAAATCACTTTTACCCTCCGTCGTAAACCTATGACCTCTTGTCCTACAGTATCCTTCAATAATACTCCACTTATTCCTGTTGAGCAAATCCGCTACTTAGGACTCCACCTTGACAAACGACTCACTTGGAACCCCCATACCAGACTGAAACGACTAGAAACCGCCCGACGTTTTCGACTACTGCAGCACTTACTAGACAAACGATCTAAGCTTTCAATCAATTATAAACGACTCGTATATATGACAATAATAAGACCTATTTGGACTTACGGAATTGAGCTTTGGGGCTCCACTAAACCATCGAATTCCTCTCGTATCCAATCCTTACAATCCAAAATCCTTCGTAAAATCCTCAACGCTCCTTACTTTGTCACAAATAAAATCATCCATAAAGACCTTAATGTTCCATATGTTTCCGATCTGGCCCAATCCAGATACCTTTCCTTCCATAACAAACTGCAGAATCATCCGAATCCTCTCGTTTCAAACCTTGCTTCATCCTCGATCCCTGATAATCCTCCGAGGCGTCTGAAAAGAAGATGGCCTCGGGATCTTCTAATATAGAACTTTAATTTGAGTTCTACCAATGGGTAGTTTCTCTTCATGTTGTACATGCCATGTTACAAATTTCTCATTTACTTATTGTATTCTCTATGTAATACAGTTGTAAATTCCATTGAAATAAAAAAAAAAAAAAAAAAAAAATTTATATATATTTTTATTTATTAAATAATAATTCATTCTGCCACACCAGAGGGCAATAGGTGTTAGTGCTAAAGGTGTATCTTACCTTTAAAGGTGTATCATATAGACAATAAAAAAAAATAATAAAAATTATATATAAATTATATATATATATATATATATATATATATATATATATATATATATATATATATATATATATATATATATATATATATATATATATATATAAAATCATATTGCTCGAATAATGAGGCAGAAAAATTCACTGTTTTACAGGTAACCGAATAAATATGTAACGACCCTCTACAAACGAACACACACGTTACTATAAATACAGACAACAAAATTCGAATAAGCTCTGTTAATAATTTAGACTTTAATGAAAACCTGATAGACCAAATTAGGAACCAATTAGTAATGCTGAAAACTGTAGGGAAATTAGTGACTCTAAAATGATTAAAAGCATATTCTGGAATCTAGGGTAATTATCGAGCCTATTACCTTGCAAAAGAAGCAGCTAAAAGGCATTTGTCGCCTTCGCATCATCAAGTTTCTTTATCCCACATTAAGATGAAGATGCCTTCGACTTACTTAATAGTGATGAGGAGCGTAGGTGGTTTCTTGTTGGCTTTGTTGAATTGAATTTTTGTGTTTAATTTATTTGGATTACTGTTAAGAAAATCCGCTTACTAGGAATCCATCTGGATAAACATCTTACTTGGAATTCTCATACTCGAGTGAAACGACTTTGAGCAGTCTCAAAATGTCTTTATGGCTTCTGATCAAACACAGGGGGATCTGCTAATGGACTGCACTGTGCACTAATTGATCAACAAATAAACTGTTATTAACTTCAGTTAACAGTGATCAATCATTAGTTCTAAACTGTGCATGTTCCTCATTGATCGTTACTGTATATTAAATAAAACAGACAAGAGACTGCTCCAACAATTACTAGCCAAACGCTCTAAACTTTCAATTAATTACAAAAGAATTATGTACATAACTATAATAAAACCTATATGGAAATACAGAGTTGAGCTTTGGGGCTCCATTAAACCATAGAATCCCTATCGTATCAAATCCTTACAATCCAAAATCCTTCTTTAAATCCTTGATAATCAGTACTTTGTCACAAATAAAACCATTCATAAAAACCTTAATGTATCATATGTAGCTGATTTAGCCCGAGCCAGTTATCTATTCTTTCATGAAAAAACTTCAGCTCCATCTGAATACACTTGTTTCCATCATTACTTCTTCCTGGATTCCTAATAATCGTTCTAGGCGTCTGAAAAGGAGATGGCCGAGTGACCTTATTACCTAGAATTATTTAAAGAGTGCTACCACTGACCACTATCTCTTCAAGTCTGTTCATGTTATTATTTCGAATGTGTGCATATTTATTAGTTGTATTTGTAATAGTTTTAAATTTCATTAAATAAACAAAAAATATATATACTTAGTTATGCTTTTTCTTTTCCTTAAGTGGGTTTATCTTTTTGAGGAAAAGAAATTATATATGTAACTATGAACAAGTTAAAAAAAAGATGGAATAAATAAATAAGAAACAAGATTAATAAATAAAGTAAAGCAAAAATGAAAAATCGAATATATAAAATAATAATAATAACACGTAATAAAGAAAGTATATTGGTAGAACTAAAATAATATATCATAGTTAACAAATAAAAGTAAACAAAATCAGTAGATAACCTAAATTGAATCAAAGTTTAAAATTCGTTCATAAATAATTGCATTCCCCCAAGAGACTTCGAGGCAGGCTTTCTCTTCGAGCAAGACCCCAGGAGATTTTAGCGCTTCTCTTCCAGTCGTGTCACTGAAATTGACATCCAGCGGATGCTCAGAGAAAGTACTGGCGCCACAAACATCTGGGAGAACATGTAAAAAAATAACTTGAATTGTTAAAGAAGGAACAATATTCTGACAGATTTTAAAGTGTGTACACATCCACCATTTAATATTTCTTGAGATAATAATGTCTGACACACATTTTTTTTTTAGATGCTGTAATATGTTCTCGTTTAATATAAATTTTTGCTCTTAATCTTTTTATTGAGGTATAACAAATTTTACCACACATAAGGGTACGGAGTATTAAAGCTTTAAGGCACATTAATACCATATTTACAATATAATAAAATGAAAACAAAATCAAATACATAAAATAGATATATAACAGATAATAATGTATATATAACAAAGATAAAAAACAAAAGAATATAGCTTGCAGTGAAATAATACAGAAAATTCTTAATAAAAAAAAATTAATATTAATGATAATAAATGATTAGAAATGAGTAAATAGAAAAAACTAACAAACGAAAACAATACTAACATTCCCTTTTCCCCACGTGTAGATGGCAAGGGTAGGCTTTAAGAGATCCCAGCGCTTCTCTCTTAGCCGCATCACTGACATTAGAGTCCAGTGGAGACTAAGTGAGAGCACTACAGCCACAGACGCTCATCACTTGAGAGGAGAAGCTGGCCAGTACCAGAACTCCATTGACATATTTACAGAAGATCTCGAGGCCACTGCCGTTTCAACCTTCGAGGAGGATTGTAGGGATGACTGGAACTGGCTAAGGGATTAGGGTGGTGGATTAAGTTTAAGTGAAAATTTGAGAATCTGAACGGAATAACATCAAGGACATAATGGATGTTAAGGTCATGATGTAAGGTATTGTTCGTGACATAATAAGGAGCATTGACTATTATACGAAGGACTTTAGACTGGAAGGATTGGGTGCGTTTGACTCTTTTAATCTACTAAAAAAATATCAAACCTCCTCATAAATAGCGTTTACCGAATCCTCTACCCATATTTTTAAGAGATTCGTTTTATGTATAGTTCGTCACATAGCCACCTGTTGAATGAATAAGAATAATATTTCGGTTTCAATACTGAACTAATTTTAATTTTATAAAAGTTTAAATTAAATTATATTTGATTTATTAAATATCTTTTAATACAGCGTAAAATCTCACTAAAAAAATTATAATTTGATGGGTCGAAACATGATTGCTTAGTTATCTTTATATATCAGTAACAATATTTTCATATCTGCTGTGATAGTTGGCAGTTATAATGTATCATTTCATTATTATCGATATAGTAATGTTAAGGAAAATGTTAAAAATAAAAGGCTAAAGTTGTTTGAGAAAGCTGTAGGTAAATTTAAAAATATGCTATAAGGATTCAGTGATTAAGTGGATTATCTAAAACATAACCTACTCTTTTTTTGCATTGTAAAATTTAATAAGGCTATTTTAATGAGTTATCTTTAATTCATACCTTTTAAAAGTTATATGTATATATATATATTTGTTTTATTATCTTTCAGCCATAATTTATAAAATCACGTAGGCATCGGCTTGCCTCTTTTGCTTTGTCACAATTTATCGTTAAGGACCTTGTAGAATAAGCAAGCCGTTATTGAAACTTGGCTGGGTAAATGAAAGACGGCACACAAGATTATTAAATTTGTAGGAGCCTTGTTGACTTGAACAAGTCAACAAGGCATCTGATGTTTACAAAGAGATGGTTTAACATTACACATGTTCTGTAAAAGACAATTTTGTAATATTAAAAAATTCCTTCTATGACAATGTTCAACACAGAGGTTAAATATCCAAGTATTGAATAATAATTAAAATAAGTTTATTAAATTCGGAGAACGGACCGCCATCGAAAACTGGTATATAATAAGGAAAATTATAAACGACAATGTTACAAAAACATATGAATGGTCTCATATCAAAGAGAGGCATCTCTCATTTTTAAATAGTTCAGAAAAAGCAAATTTTCGTAACATAGCTTCAATTTAGCCCAGTTCAAATGATTGTATTTCATAATTTAATTTCAAAATTCCTTAGATAAAATCATCAGAAACATTTTGAGTTATAAAACAAAAATTGACTTTTTGTCTACTCTTTGAAAATTAAAGAAGTCCATCTTTGATGTGAAGCCACTAATTTTTATATTAAGCTACTCCTTTCTTTTGACTTGGGTATGTGAATATCGCGGTTTTAATTCCATGAAAATTACTAAAAATTAAAGCATTTCTTCGGTTTATGTAACATGTGGTATTACAAGTTTTATATGTAGCAATTAAGCTAGATATAATTGAAATTGTATCACCTGAAGTCTCCTTTAACTTTATTAGCTTACAGTTACTCATTTTAGTAACTTTAAGACTGTGTTTGAGGATGAAGTTGGATTACTAATGCTTACTGATGGATTAATAATGATGGTTTACTGATGACGTATTCGTATGGTTCATGGTTGTGGTGAATAGTCGTGACGTATGATTTACTGATGAAGTCTCCTTTAACTTTATCAGCTTATAGTTACTCATTTTAGTAATCTTAATACGGTATTTGAGGATGAAGTTGGATTACTAATGTTTACTGATGGATTAATAATGATTGTTTACTGATATCCTGAACAGTCAACGATGAATGTATCACCATCTCGAACCAGTAATAAAATCTGGATTCCCGTTATTACCAAGCATCTCCTCAGTTTTCCCTCATTCAGAACCATTACCAAAATTGCTCCCAAGATAATAACATTAGTCCTGATCATGTTAGATCTGTTTAAATTTTTGAATATCAGACTACGAGTGGAATCTATAATCATTAGAATTTATACCATAAATGGATATAAAAATAGAAAACATTCATCCGATTTAGTAGAAATTGGTAAAGTGCAGGCAATATTTTATAATTCCTTATTCCGTATTATCTAAATTAGAAAAAAAAATATGTTGACGGGCTCAGATATCAATGAGTGACGTTTGTGGTGAATACAAAAATAGTAAATCGTTCACCAGGAATATAGGTAAGGATAAAAGAATAAAATATGAAGGCAAGTAATTTAAGCAGTCGATTTCGAAATATTTGTTTAAACAATATTTTACAAATATTAATTTAATTAAACAGTAGTAATTATAATCTACAGGTAGCTTATTAAATCTATGAGATAGTCATAACTGGTATGTCTCAATACGAAATCACATTAATAGATATTTTATATGAATGTAAATATATCTAGATATTTTATAATTATCTTAGATATTTTATAATTATTTTAGATCTTTTATAGCTATATTGTAAATATAGCTAGATATGAATGTAAATAAGCTTGAAGGCATATCCATTTTTCTCAATAAAAAAATAATTTAAAATTTCTTACCTTGGCCGTGTAATACTGAGTGCCGTAAAGGCCATCTGAGCATGACCATTCATCAGTTCTGCAACAACTCCTGTCCACCTGCAAAATAAATCAAATACATTTCGTACTTAGACCTCATTGGTAGTGCTCGTAATAGATTTTAAATATATTTCATGGTAAGTATCAGTATGTCACTTATAAAATAAAAGATAATTTTCTAGAAAGACTGTGGACAGAGCCTGGAGAATGACTGGAGATGAGTAAACAAAAAAAGATTTGGGTATGGAAGTTCAAGTGAGTTGACGGAGCATATTGGTGGTTAATTTCACAGATCTTGTAAGTAAAAATTTTAGTGTTAGAAGTGAAAAATATTTAAGATTTCAAGAGTATCCTGTAATTCTTAATTATTAGTTCTACGGGGCGAGGTAGCCAAACGGGCTAACATTATCATATCATTATCTTGGCTTAAAACGAAGTATGGTAAAACAAAGTCACCCATTGTCAAAAGATTTACAGGAGACACCAAAAATACTTTCACGACTCTCAGGTATTTGACCCAGGAAACGCCATGTCCTCGAATCAATTTCTATAATAGACCGCAATGCAAATAGATATAAAGTCTTCACTTAGTGGTGTGATGCATTGAGAATCAACTAGTAGCGATGTGTGTTTATATGTATGTAAAAAAATAATGTTTTTGAAAAAAAATGGGGTCATTTCTTTAAAATTATCGCCTCATATCGAGCACACCCGGAGAAACAATGCCCTAACTAAGCAAATCATACAATTTTATAGAGGAGGCAAAATAATTAGAAATATTGTTATAGAAGTAATATAATAGAATGCACATAGAATTCTTCCATCAATTCAAGTTTTTCTAATACTGTACTATGACGTCGATTTGATTAAAAACTGCTTAACGTAAAAAAAAAAAAAAAACATTTTTCCAATATCTTACAGTTGTATCGTTTTTCCATCGGATAACTATTAAGTCCGTGGCACAGACCTCTTCTCATCAAATTATTAACATCCGCCTTAAACTTCGTAAATAGCTTCATCTCATCGTAACCTACAACTATTTTATTTAAGAAAATTCTGGGAATTGGGGAGTTTTCAATCTGGAGATCGTCAAACTTTATCTATTTAACTGGGCACAAAAAACTCGTAAATACCAATTTGCTTTCCACTTAAATCATAAAATAATTTGAGCACAAACTCGAGAAAAAAGGCGGCTTTCAAAAATATTGAGCTGTTTGGTGTGGCCTACACCACCAAAATATCAAAAGAAGGCTTTAAAAGCCAAACGGCCCAATATTTTTTAAGGCTACTTTTTTCCTCAATTTTGTGATAAAATTATCTTACGATCCAAGTAGAAAGCAAATGGATATAATTAGAATTTTTAGTGCCTAATTAAGTAGTCAAACTTTGCCGACCTCCAGAAAACTTCCGAATTCCAAGAGTTTTCTTAAATAAAATAGTTGTGGGTTACTATGAGATGAATCTATTCACGAAGTTTCAGGCGGATTTTATTAATTTGATAAAAATGAGTCTGTATCATGGCTCTAATATGTTATAATATAACTTTTTTTTTATCCTATTTAAAGTAAAATCGATTTTTACATAAAAATATAAAATCACAGTAAGAGTCAATAAGAGTAAGAGGAATAAATGCAAATTTTAAAAGTTAATGATTAGGCCAGTCACTAACTCCAAGATTTTCATTTAAGGAACCTATAAAAACATTATTAAGATTTTCAATTAATATTCTCTATAATTTTAAAATAAATCATTCCAGGAAATATTCAACTGCACCTTTTTGAGAATTGAACTAAGCAAAAAATTGAGCAAGCTATGAATTTATTATCTTTATCACCAGCAATATTCCTTTTAACCATTCCCTTTAAAAATTGTCGGTGGGAGAGGAGCAATATTTTTTCATCAATTGTTTAAATGTAGTAAATTACTTTGAAATTTTATTTAACGCAATAAATTTTGCTTAAAACAGAAACAGCTTATGCTTGTATATTTTAGGCCAGATCATTAGGAGGCTTAACAATTAATCTTATGGACTAATATAAGCAGGCTGAAATATGATCAACTGAAATGTTATGTATTCATAAATACCTTTTCAAATTAAGTATCCTCCATCTATATTATCAATGAGGATATTTATATTATTATAATAACATAATTATCAAAGAATTAAAAACGAGTTATTTTTTCTAATCGGGCAATGTTGTTAAGTACAGCAATATTGTATTAAACACGGTGCGTTATTTAAATTAATAAAAATATTTATATTATCAGAGAAAAATGCATGGATATTTTACACCAGATCATTAGGTGGAATAGAAATGATTTTTGTTAAATGTAGCACATATTCTTTTTAAATGATTAGAAGAATAAATAAGAAATTGAAATTCATTTTATTATACAGGCTATTTCAGGATTAGATGTCCTAACTGAAAATATGAATCATGGGTATAAAAAAAAAAAAAAAATCCACAAAGATATGTCTGTTAATACTTTACTTAGGAGATATTTCCATCTAAATATTTTTATAGTTATGAATTATCAAAGTCACGATAAACAGATTATGGTTCGATCCAATTATTTTATTAATAAAATGTGTAAGGAAACATTCACAATAAATATTGTTCAATGTCTTGAGCATTAAGCATGTCTTGGCATCTTAAGTCTACAACACCTGCAGTAGTGGTCGAATTACTGTTTACTAAGTTTCAATTACCCCTTCTTAGTTAAATATTAACGTCATTGACCGTGCTTGTATTGAATTTTTCTTTAATGTTAACCAACAAAGAAATCCAATGCAATTAGATCAGCATATTCGCCATTAGTATAAATGGAATAATATGATATATTTTATTTCACTTATTTTTTTAATGTTTAATTTTTATTTTTATTTATTCTTATTGTTTTTATTTCACTTTTTATTTATAGTTATTTCTCTTAAGAAGATTTATTTTACTTATTTTTATAATAGTATTTTTTTTTTAATTTATTCTTATTATTTTATTTTTTTAATTTATATTTCTTTCTATATTTTCAGTTTCAGTTTCAGTGCATATTGTATGAATGAATACTTTTAGCCCTAATACTTATTTTCCTCTAAGTGACAGACTGTATTATTATCCAATAAATAACAAAAATGTATAAAGAAAAGGCATAATGATGAATATTCTGCTAAAGTGTTAAATAAACTGATAAATATTATTAAAAGAGTTCCCAGTGCTAATTCCTCCTAACACTCCTTATATTCTAAAACTAGAGAAACAAGCTCAAGTTATCATTTTTTCTTGTCCAGCTAATATCTCTTAAGCAAACGAACATGCGTTCATAAGATTTTTTTTCAAAGTTTGAGATTCTTAATCCATATTTTGAGTGCGAACACAACTCTGAAACACCCTAACCTATAATAACCTAGCTATTGAACTTTATTATCTTTTAAATATATCTATCAGAGGTTTAACATTAATATATCGCTTAATATTATTCTATTAATTGTCCAAAAGTAATGCCAATTCCAACATAATAATAATAAATAAATCGTAATTTAAATAAAAATCGTTGCTTGATTGCTTGCAAAAGCTACAAAAGGAAAATAATATTCATTATGTTAAGAAATGATTAGAGGCAACATTATTGTATAATATTTATTAGAATAAGCTTTTCGAATATAAAATTATCAAACAAAAGACATAGATCAAAAAGAAGAGGAACATTGTATTGTAAAATTAATGGTTATTTTGTTTTTTAAAAATCCATTATTATGGCCTCCTAAGCTTGAAGGCTTACCATTTTTACGTTTTTCTCGCTCATTAATATTTGTTAGTCATAAAAAGCTGTTAAAATCCCAAGGAAGCGGACAGCAAACCATAACAGAGATAGGCTGTTCAGGCTAAGAACGAAATTATTAAAATGAAATTTAAATATTTCATCAACCATCCTGAAGGATAGATTTGATAATAAAAATAAATAAATAGTATATTATACACCCACTTTTATTTGTTTCTTTGAGTGTAATAAAATAATTGTTGTAACATCTAACAAACTTAGTTCATACAAGTATCGACACAAGAGCATCAAACTATATTTTGTAATAGTTTATTTGTATGAAACTAAAGATTGCATTTAAGTAAAAATACAAAGCGGCTTTGCTGTTCATGATTTAATATATTTTTTGTTATGTCGTGGAATCTCGTAAAGGGATTCCTTGTAAATCTCAATTTTTAATATCTGCAGTAATGCTAGACAAAACATCGTAAAAAAAAAAAAAAAGATTATATTTAAGTTGAGAGAAGTATGAATAGGAAATCATCAATGTTAAACTCCAACTTATAGTTTGTTCCTGTGAATTGTTTTAGCTGAGAATTCAGAAAAATAGAAAATGGAATTGTGATATACGTCAACTTTAATTAGAATTTACGATCTATATAGTATATAGATACGATCTATATAGTATATAATGATGTTCAGACTGCAATAGATAATAAACAACTAACTGCCCTTATACTTCTTGACTTCTCTAAAGCCTTTGATTCCATTAACCATCCCATCCTTTTCAACAAACTAAAATCACTCTCCTTCTCCAATAGCACCATCTCTTGGTTCCAATCTTTCCTATCACAACGCACCCAAGCAGTCTCCATTCCTAATCAACCACTATCTGCCTACCTGCCTTTATCCTCTGGAGTTGCCCAAGGATCTAGGATATCTCCTCTCCTTTTTAGTTCCTATATGAATGACCTCCATGACTCAATTCTCCATTGTTCCCACCACCTTTATGCAGACGATTCTCAAATATACCTATCCTTTTCTCCCCCTGAGCTATTGGTAGCATTTACTAAGATCCAAGCAGACCTAGATCGAATCTGTGCCTGGGCAAAATTAAACGGATTAAGGTTAAATGCTTCAAAAACTCAGGCCATTGTCACTGGTTCCAAGCCCCTCCTTAGATCCTATACGGACTTTCACATACTAAACCTTGGTGACCAGCCAATCTCCTTCTACTCCTCTGTAAAAAATTTAGGACTATTTATTGATCAAACCCTCTCCTGGAGTCACCATATTTCTCACAT